CAACAGTTAAATTTTTTTGCAAGCTTACCCATTGAGACTGTAATCCTCTTCCCGTTCCCCTTTTCCCACAGACCTCCAAAAAATGGAAGTGAAAGGCCAGCTATGTTAGTTTGATCTGGCATAAGAACAGAGTATTCATCCAGCTTGACATACAGAAAGCTACCTCTGGGGGATAAATTTATCCTGCCTAATCTAATCCAGTATCCAGCAACGGCCAATCATAAGTATCAGCAGCCCGATAGCGGATTTTATTAGGATATAAGAAATTTATCCTACATTTGGTAACATTTAAATATTGAACTGGATTATTTGCCAGATTACACTACCAGAGAAGGGCTATTATTTATTTGGGATTACAATCTCACCGGATAAGTCCCCCAAAAAGTCCTTTGTTCATCCTCAAGTGTAATGGAGGTAAGAGCAAAAGCCTACTCATTACTCTCTTCCATCTTTTGTTATATTTTTCCTTCTGAATAAATTCATTACTCTCTTCAGTGACAGGTCACCAGCACACTGTCACTGAAGCAGGCTAAAGTCATAAATCTATTCAAGCCTTTCTCATTTCTACCCAAGTTTGGAGGGATAAGATTCCTGAGCTATCCCATATTGTTTTTTTATATGTAGGATATCCCCTTTATACCCTTCCCTGAGTCCATTATCCAAGGCCCACGGAAGAAAGACATGCAATTATGCTCAACAAAGCCAACCAAAGGTGTAAATGACCTTCACTGACTTTCCACTCAATCACTTGGAGCAATGTTATAAGCTTAACCAGTAAGCCCAAAGTAGCAAAGAGTGAAGTCCAAGTCTTTATTATGATACAAACTAAACTTCCTCAAAGACCTTATAAAAGCTTTTTGGCACAATCCTCCAACTTCATGATTAGGTATGATATTCTTCCTCAGCCCAAAAGGCAAGTTAGTCCATGTGAAACAAGATTAGAGGTTTTAATCTTACCAATAATTTTTCAAGGACTTGGGTAAGACTAGTGGGATTCTATCGGAAATCATATTCTTGACCTAATAACTAATAATGCTTGTAAAAGAGATTTTATTTTCTTTAGCAACTGAGAAATCCCCGAGGGCAAGTGATGCACAGCTCGAAACTCAGTGGATAATGGACCTGTCCCTCTACCATTCTCCACATAATGCTTATTAAACTAAATTAACACCCTTATACTTCATGAACATGCTTAGCTTTCACAAGTAAAAAGAATCTAATGGATGAAAAATGCAAGGACGACTTTAGAGCGTGTAAGAATGTGAGACAATTCTCTAGTTCTCTTTTAGCTTAACATGAAGTAAGAATACTTACAGTGGAGCACGAAATGGTCTTTCACGACCTCCAAAACGAAGTTGCCCTGATTCCTTCTTTCCGCCAAGACCACCTCCTGTCAAATAGGATAATCTTGATAATAGGTTTAATAGCAAATTAAAACTTCAAGAAGAAGGATATCAGACTAAAGAAACTAACCTAATCTTCTTGGAATCCAGCCTGACATTAACCTTTGCCTGTTGTAGTCCACTATTATTTCAGAATCATCAATAACCTTATGATGAGCATCCTGCAGTATGTGAATAACAAAATGAACAAGATAGGCAATGAGTTTGGTAAACCGGAAATTGAACATAGATTAATTCAATTGTTTGTGTATTCCAAGGACAATGACTCGTCTTTCTTATATAAACAGTTTGTATTTAAACAACTGTTTGATCAACGTATCCACACAAATTAGTTAGACATAACAAATCATAGTCTTCAATAACCAGTTCCCAATCGTAGCAACTTTTTTCTCGTGATCAGGAAGTAGCCTAGCTCCAGCAAACCACATTAGATACAGTAGCCAAGCACATTTCCATCCCTTTGGGTATTTTGGCAATTCGGAAGGGAGCACAGAGCTGTTAGGTCTTAAAAATCTTGTACATGTCACACTAAAGAAGGGTTCGCCATAAACATTTAATGCTGCTATTTCACACAACTAAGCTAACAGCTGGTACTGCAAGTGTTCGTTTTGATACTTAAAATTTCTCTATAGGTTTCTCTAGTACAATTACTCTACTTATTTTCCCTGTATAGTCCATTAAAACAGTGTACAAGCATCACGCTATCTCCTGGTTGTGATATGCAGAAAAGATTGGCCAGCACCTAAAAAGATTGACAAAATGAGGAAATAGGTGTCACTATTTTAGTGAGAACATATTACCGTGTATGCTCGACGCATTTCTCTATCAGTTTCAAATTCCACAAATGCATAACCGCGTGAAGCACCTGTTACTGCAAAAGCAAACAAAATGTGAGAGAATTTTACCTCCTATCATATGCTCTCAAATCTTCAAAAAGTATTATATTTTCTTTTTGTAATAAGTGTCTATACCAGCAATTGTCAATGATTTCCAATATATACTAAACCTCACAACACAAAATCTGAAACACCACATAAACAAGTAATTTTGGAAGAAACAGTCATTACCAATGTGTCTAACAATTCTTAAGTTCTTCACCTTTCCATACTTGTTCATTTCCTGCAAATAAACACAATCCAAAATATGCAACAACACCAATTAGACAATAAGCAAACAACCAAGAACAGCACAAGAGTTTAAAAAAAAGAAAAGATGCAACCTTTAAATCCAAACTAATGCGGAAAAAAAGTTCACAGCTTCTCAAGTTAAGAAAAAAAAAAAACCCAGAAAAGGTTACCTTTTGAAGAGTGTGTTCAGTGGTCAAGTGAGACAAATGGCCAACAAAGAGAGTAGAATAAGGATCACCAATAGCCTTTGGGTCACCAAAAGGGTCATCTGAAAAATGGGAAAAGATGTGAAATTGGGAAGAAGAATTAGGGGTTGAAGAAAAAGAAGGGAAAAGGTATGAAATGACTAACACAATCCGGCATTAGAGCCAAGAAGAGCTCTGTAAATGGCGTTATCATGTGGAAGGATGTCAGTGCCATCGATGCTTCCAGCTTGAATTGGATGGTATGATTCTGCATAGAATACTGAATTCAGATTGGCACCACACCTCTTTCCCTTCACCTCTTCTCCAGCCATTCAATCAATTCTACTTTTGGGGGCTACTTGGATTATATCAAATAATTGCTGAATTTATCCTCTTTTACATAATCTCAACTTAATTTTGAGAAATTGAGTGCTCTCTTGATATGAGAGTCTTGCTTCAAAACAAAGTAAAAAATGTTAAGGTATGCATAACTAATATCAACTTTGATCGACCAAATTACCAGATACACTTCTAAGAATCAAGGGAATTATACACTTAAAACATATCTTTCTAAATTTAATGTGTTTTATTTAGATTTTTGGTCTTAGTTATCCTTGTGTATTTATTTTTATCGTTTCTTCCTCAAATAATAACTGACCCTAATTACATCTTATATTCGACTTTTCTATAATAGTTACCCTCTCAAAATAAGAAAATGGTAATTATAAATATTATTCTCCTATTAATTATTTTATTTTCCAATTTGATTACTGTTACATGTCTTTTTTTCCTTTGCTTCAATAATCACATTAGTATTTGGTTGTTGGCTTGTCGCTATGACTCTCTTCTTCCGGTTTTATTTGGACAACTTTCACACGTAGCAAACATAAAATTTATATTTGTATATTATAGCAAAGTTTGTACAAGTTCACCCCATAGCAAATATATAAATGTATAATTCGCTATACATATACAATTGAAGCGAATTGTATAAAACGAAGTGTATAAAACGAGAAAGAAAAAAAGACTTGGATAGAAAATTGTATAAAACAAAGTGTATAAAACGAATTGTATAATTATAAGTATATAGAACGATTATATACAATTTGAAATTTGTATAAAATGAGAAAGGCAAAAGAAACTTGGGCAGGGAATATACGATTGAACCGAATCGTATAAAACGAGAAAGAGAGAAATTATATACAATTTGAATTTGTATAAAACGAGAAAGAGAGAAAGACAAAAGAAACTGGGCAGGGGAGTATTTATTGTGCAATTATAAATGTACAAGACGAAAATATATGTATTTGCATGCGCGTATACAATTTTCTCTCGTTTTACACAAACAAAAACACAATTTATGCATTTCGTTTCTGTTTGTATAAACGAGAGAGGTGAGGGTGGCGAGCGAGATTAAGGAGAGTAGCGAACGAGATCCGAGAGAGGGGAGAGAGAGGAACAAAATATATATATATATATTTATATTTATACAATTTACTCTCGCTTTATACAAATAAAAATGAATTTTATATAATTGTGTTTGTATAAAAGCGAAAGGAAGCGAGCGAGAAAGGAGAGTGACGAGCGAGAGTTTAAGGGAGAGAGATGATTGACAAACAGTTTGCTACGAGACACAATCAAATCAAAGGATAGTTATAGCAATTAATTTAATTTATTAATTTGTCATTATATATAATTTTCTCATTTTAATTTCACTATATACTTTAATGGCCTATCCGTAACAACTTTGTCTCTTTACCTTTAAGGGATAGAAATAAAATTGTATATATACCATCTTTTTTAATATTCATTTATAAAATTACACTATATATTCCTTTGAAGAGTATTAATATTGTTGGATGAGTAAAATTTTCTGATAAGCTTTAATCTTCTCACATTACTCAAACACAAACGTCTTTCAGAATAATAATTCAATGACAAATCCAATAAATGCACAATTATTTATTTTCCAAATTATATTTCAAAAACTAACTACAAAAATTGAGTAATTAAGTCAAATCTCAATATAATATTAGATAAAAAAAAAGAGCATTATTTTATATTACTTGACATAAAGTTTAAAAAATAAAATAAAAGATTTTATAATATAAAATAAATTTGAGATATTTGTAGGTGTACGTAGTAGATAATTAAGAGGTAAACAAAAGTAATTCACTTTATTCAAAACATCAAATTTACATGCAAACTTGAGTTGTCAAAGCCATTATAGGGATCTAACCCTAATTAAGGCAAAAGTAGTGAAACAAAACAAAAAAACCCATATGTATTTTATATTATAAGCATCCGTATTATTAATTTAATTCCCACATAAACTCTCTTATAATTATACTTTATTACATTAACGTGACTACGTACGTACATACATGTGGATGCTTTCTTCATTTCATTTCAACATACTCTTAATTATATATAAATTATATTAGTAACTTTTTATGGTTGAACTTCATTTTCATAATAGGCTTTTGCTTCTGCAGCTGAGTAACAACATTCGTAGCAATTTCCATATCTACCACGATTACAACATCCATATCGGCAACCTCCGCGTCGACCGCCACTGCCACGTCCTCCCCAACCACCACCTCCACGTCCACCCCAACCGCCACGTCCTCCCCACCCGTATCCATAACCATAACCATCACCATCACCGGCCACTACAACACTTTCTTCTGCAAATATATGTGACAGTGTCCAAGTCAGAATTTTGAATTTATGAAAAGACAGTTTACTCTATTGTGAATAAATTAGTTAAGTGTATTTGAGCGTAAAAATATTTTTTATCTAGAGAGCTAATGAAAAATATTTCATCGAAGATATATCATTATAGACTAATAACTAATATTAGCAAATTAAATAGTTGCATAAAAAAAAACTTGTTTACATGAAATATATTACTTTTCCGCCCTTTTAATTTATATAATGTGACAATGTTTAAATTTCGATAATTAAAAAGATTGATTTAATTACGAGGGGTGCAACATTGCTGGCAACCACGTTTGCTATAACCGCCGCAGCAGCCATAATGACAATGTTCTCCACCGCCTCGGCCTCCGTGTCCGCCGCCGTTGTACTGGTTGCTTGCTTCTTTCACTTCATTAGCTGCAACAAATTAGATTAAAGAGTAATTAACCTTTTTTTAATTATCCTACTAATTTATATGTGAACATGAAATAATCACATTAAAAAATATTAATAGCTTATTATTAGATATTATGTTAATAGAATGAAAAGACTATTATTAAGATTACTACTTCAATTCATAATCATGGTATATTATATACATATATATATATATATATATAGTGAGTACAAAAATTGTTAATTATCACATAATAAATGTCCATTATCAGTTTAATTTGATACGAGTTTAAGTGATATAAAAGATCACTAAAGAACATAGTATATATACATTAATAGTGTTTTTAAAAATATGTGAAGTTTGTATCTTTGTAATACAATAGGTTATAATTTATTACAACACGTAAAATGACTCGATGGTAGTTGAAAATATAAAGTTATTACCATTTTTTTCATCTTGTGATGTTTCAGCAGCATTTACGTAATAATATGATAGGAGAAGAACTAAAAGCAAAGGGAAAATATAAGTCTTAAGCTTCATTTTTGGGTTTAAACAAACAGTATGTGGAATTATTGTGTGAGTAACATTTGCAATGTTAGCCTCTTTTTATAGTAGTAAAAGAATAATAATAATAGTAGTAAGGGGTATATTATATAATTATAAATATTGTAATAAATGTTTTCAATATTTTCTCTTGTATGCCCACATATGCAAATGCTGTTGGCTGTTGAGGATTATTTTATGTATATCCTTTCTAAAAATAATATTTCAAAATCTTATCAAAGCTAATTAAATTTTACCCTTGTTCATGCATAGCAACTATTTGGTCTGATGACTTGATTTAGGGCTATCACAACTGGGGCAGTTAAATGAAATTAATTAGTGACAGCTAATAAATAGAGTGAATTTTTTTTATTTGTTAAGCATTGACAAGTCTTTAGTGAAATTCATCGTTTAGGGGGTGTGTTCATGTTAACCTAGATGCCACGATTATAAAAAGGAAAAATTATAAACTTTAAATAATTAATATTTAATTATGACATAGCTGAAAGAATAAGTCAATATATAAGAAACTCACATAAAAAGAAGACAAAAAAAAAAGTTCAGTTATAGTTGATCTCATCTTACTATATAAGTCAACTAATGAGGTTTGCATATTATCAAATTTTGGTTGACAAAATCAAAGATATGCTTCAAGTGAATCATTATATGATAAAAATAATTCAGGATAAGGAAAAAGAAAACAGAAATTGAAGGAAAGATGTTTCAGTCCAAAAATAATTTCTCCTCCATTTTAATTTATTTATTCAATTTTAACTTAACACAAAATAAAATTTATAATCTTAAATTAAAGACACATGCGAATATATCAAAATACTCTTTTTAATTTTGCGGTAGAATACTATTAGGCTACAGTCCAAAATTGAGACGTGGCAGTTACCAGAACTCAACAACGCATACCAATCAAATTAATTCAATCATATGAAATTCAAGTATGTTTTACAAGAAATTGATTTGGATAAAATGAAATGGTAGAAGATCATTAACATCAATTTCTATGGCAAAATTTGATAAAACATATCTACAATAACACATGAGAATACATGTTATACTATGTGATAATTAATTTTAACGTAATTAATAAAGTTATGACATGTTATTTATAATTTGAATGTCATGAGTATAAACTGTGAAAATAGTCTCTAACAGAAATACAGAAGAATAAGACTGTATATAATACACCCTTGTGATTTGATCCTTTATAAAACCTTAGTGTTCTGACGATAATATATACAAGTTGTAACATCTAGATTGCAATTAGTCTAGAAGACAAACTAGACTTGTGTTTCTTTTGAGAGAGGGGTGGATCCATTATACAAGAAATTATGAACTATTGGAGATTTTGTATATAAAAGTAAAGTGAAATCTTTGTTAAAATACAAGAGTTAAATAGTGAGAAAACCAAAGTAGACTAGCTTTGGAAGAAAAGAAGCATCACAACCAACAAAACATATAAAAGTTAAAATGGTACTTAATAATATTAAGGATGATATTAGCAAAGGACTAAAGTTAAGACAAGAAGAAGTTCAAAATAAATGATGAAACAAACAAAACATAGTTTATCCCTATTGATCATAACAAATTTAAAACGGATTACTCAATGCTAATTAATATAATTAACTTAACTTTGTAATTCCCTCCTTTCACTAAGCCATCAAATGTGGCAAGTCATTTTCCTTATAATTCCCTTGCAAATCATTCAATTTTCTTGGGAGACATACAATAAGTCCCCAATCACATATTCGGGCTTAAGTTCTGTGCACTGACAACGTAATGGGGCATGTTGTGGACATAGGGAAGCCGATAAATTACACAGGGGGGCTCGAGTTCTCGAGCCTAACATACAGAGTGACAAAAAAGATGAAAGATGAAAATGGGAAATGGTTAAGTCAAGAAGTGGACTTGTTGCACCAGATAACAGGTTATGCACCAAAAGGTTGCATTACTGCAGTAATGGGCCCAAGTGGTGCTGGAAAGTCTACACTTTTAGATGGATTGGCTGGAAGAATTGCTAGTGGAAGCCTTAGGGGTAAAGTGTCAATGGGTGGGCTGGATATGAGCCCAAGTTTTATCAAAGGAAGTTCAGCTTATATAATGCAAGATGATAGACTTTTTCCAATGCTTACTGTTTATGAGACATTCATGTTTGCTGCTGATTTTAAATTAGGATCACTCTCTAGGACCGAAAAACAGGACCGTGTTGAGAGGCTCATTGAGAAACTTGGATTGTCTGTAAGTCGACTACAACTCATTCCCTCATGTTATACAAGCAACGTCGTTTGTGTGCTGCTATAGAAAAATGCTGTTATTCAGAACATATAACATAAAATCGATTTCATAGAAAACTTGACTGTTATAGTGTAAATGTTGTTATAGAAATGTTTAACTGTATATTCGTCATGTTTCTTGAGAACCAAATATAGATAAATCTTAATGTGTAGATTTATTTAATTTGATCATCATTCTCGAGGACTTGGAATTTCTTATGTCTAAACAGTTGTATAGTTATGATCGTTTATTTGAATGCAGTCGACTAGGAACACTTACATAGGTGACGAAGGGACTCGAGGAGTATCTGGAGGTGAACGTCGTAGGGTGTCAATTGGAGTGGACATTATACATGGACCTTCATTGTTGTTCTTGGATGAGCCTACTTCAGGTCTTGATTCAACTAGTGCTCATAGTGTAATTGAGAAGGTGCACGATATAGCCCGAGCTGGAAGCACTGTGATTCTAACAATTCATCAGCCTTCACACCGTATTCAATTGCTTCTTGATCATCTAATTATCCTGGCTCGGGGACAACTCATGTACCAAGGAGCACCGAATGATGTGTCTCATCATCTTGTTAGGATGGGACGAAAAGTGCCAAAGAACGAAAGCTCGATAGAACACCTGATTGATGTAATTCAGCAATATGATCAATCTGAGCTTGGAGTAGAAGCAGTAGCTGCATTTGCACTTACTGGTATGAAACCTCCACCAATCGGTGCAGCAGCACACGAGATGTCAGTTTCCACTGTGCTTCCATCACCTGTCCGTCCATCACACCGTGCTAAACATCAGGTCGTGGAGGCACAAGGTCGTGACAAGTCAAGCAAACGTCTTCGTTTGCAAACCCATGCACAAGATGACACAGGATTCGATCACAGTGTTAGGAGTCCTTGGAATACATCTAAGTCCTGGAGTGCCAGCCGTAGTGGTGTCCTACAATCTATAGGCTTTTCACCAGCTAGGCGTAATGATCATAGAAGTCCAAGTGTTATGGGGTAAAAACATTCACTTCACTTCTATTAGAGATTAGAATCAAAACTTTTATACACTGATAATCTAAAATGGCACTAATAACATTGAAAATAAGACATAACATGTTGAAATGCTATGATATTGTAAAACAAATTATATTGTCAGTATATATAAGTTAAATCTAACGAACAATATTTGGGATGTCTGTGCAGTTCTTCTCCAGGATGCTATGCCTACTCTACAGAGATCGTTCAAAGTACTCCAACTCCGCATAGTAGTGACTACACTGTCAATGAAAATGACTATTTGACACCGAATGATTTTGGTCATGACATTAATCATTCTTTCCATGATCTTGGGCCAAAGTTTGTGAATTCTTTCTTTTCAGAGACATGGATATTGATGAGACGAAACTTTATAAACATCATGCGTACCCCTGAACTTTTCCTCTCTAGGCTTGTAGTACTATCAGCCATGGGAATTATGATGGCCACTATGTTCCTGCATCCCAAAGAAAACCTTCAAGGGATCACAAATCGCCTCAGTTTCTTTATCTTCACTTGCACCCTCTTTTTCTTTTCGTCCAATGATGCTGTTCCTGCTTTCATTCAAGAACGATTTGTCTTCATCCGCGAGACCTCTCACAATAAGTATAGAGCCTCTTCTTACACAATTGCAGGTCTGATTACTTTTCTTGCACTTATTACTCCATTTCAGTAAGTCTTTTTGAATGAATCTACTAGTAAACGTCGTCCTAATAAGTCTTGTGTACATACTGTGGCAGGTCTAGTTACTTACCTTCCATTCCTAGCTCTTCAGGCTGCAGTTTACGCAGTGATTGTTTGGTTTGCACTCTCACTTAGAGGGCCATTCATCTATTTCTTGGTAATTCTGTTCATGTCACTACTCTCCACAAATTCATTCGTTATATTTGTGAGCTCAGTGGTACCAAACTACATACTAGGATATGCAGCTGTGATTGCTTTCACGGCACTTTTTTTCTTGTTCTGTGGCTATTTTTTGAACAGCAATGACATGCCAAGTTATTGGAAATGGATGAATTATGTTTCAACAATGACTTATCCATATGAAGGACTTTTGATGAATCAGTATCAAACAAATGAATCATTTGGAAAAGACCCTCTTGGAAGAGATGTTACTGGTTTTGGAATCTTGAAGTCACTTAATATTTCACTTGATCCAACCAAGAAGTGGGAAAAAGTATATATAATGTTAGGATGGGCTGTTTTTTACAGGATTCTCTTTTATATTGCTCTTAGATTATTTTCAAAGAATCAGAGGAAATGAAATTATGTGTATGGAAAAATCGTTTGCAGTGAATCATGGCGCGAATCCAAAAAAGTCGGGAAAAAAAATCTGTTCTGCTAACATACAAACTTCAATTGTATGATGAATAGTATCAATGTATTATCTCTTGTCAAACAGTTTTACAAAAGATTCATTTTGTCGGGCCAGTCGAACTCATTAGTTAGCCCATTTCATCAACCATGAATTAGTTTTGATCCGTTCAAATTCAGGCCAACTTGGCTCATTAATTAAATTTCTTTCAATGATTTTACATATAATTTTTTTTATGAAAAACCAATAATATATAAAAATTATATTATGATTTTTATTTGCGATGAGTATTGATACTCTATAATAAAGAAAAAAAGTATCATAATTATTATTTGAGACATATGACAAAACCCTGAAGACCAATGATAAGTGAACAAGTATATAATTAACTTCATAGTGTTATCAAATAGTAAATAGGTGATACTACATTTGTTGTTTAGGTTATTCTCAATCTTGTTATCTTTATAGATTAAAAAGTTGTGTATCATTCATTTATTCAAGAATTAAGAGGGCCAACAATGTAAATTAAAAGATTTTAACACATAATTTGTGTAAGATCTGATAGACGAGTCCCGAGCGTTGGGCATGCTTAGGACGTACAGTCCAACGCTTAAGGCATAAGTCTTGTAGAACTAAGTCCCAAACTTGAGTCTCGAGGCATTTTGCTGGAGCCTCGCCCCAGAGTGAGCCCCGAGACGAGTCCTTTTAAAACACGGCTCCTACCTATACTAATGTCCTTTTAAATATGGGAACTATAAATCAACTTGAGAAGAGCTTATCTTCCTACAAATATAATCACAACCATTTGACTATGGAATTAATCATGTTATTTTGTGGTCTAATTGCATTATACTCCACTGATCTTTTTGTTTAATGATCTAAAACCGTTACCGTTTTAATGATGTCATAGTCTTTGTCAGATTGTCATAATTAAACACTTGTTTGACTAAAGAATGATAAGTAATAATTACTCAAGGAGTTACTAACCATTAAAAGTACAAACTTTTTTCTTACTTTCCATAATATTAGGGCCTGGACAAACCATCTTTTATTAAATCACACTAATCAGTTCTTTGACCAATTTTTTTTTTAATTAAGGATCATTTGGTAGATTATATAAAAATATATATATAATTAATCATACAAAAGATTTCAACATATGCAGTAGATCCTCAAATCTTTGACCATCGAATAAGTTTGTGATACACGATAATAATACTCTTCCCGACCCGATATGATAATAATGAGAGTGATATGCAAAGAGAAAGTGTATAGTTGAAAAGGGTGATGTCAGGTAGTGGAGCAAAGAACGTAACCGTCCTTCTCACAGTCCCTATTTTGGATGCATATCATATCAGCTCACGCATTTTACACCACCTTGCCTTCCTGGCCCATTCACACACCATTCATGAGTAGTACTACTGGAAAAAAGAATCAAATTTTCTGATACTATACAGATTTCATTTTCACAAACAGCCCAACTCTGAGAACCTCATCAGCGAACAGACCAGCTGCTGCTTCTTCTGAAAAGGTAGTGTTTTTTTTTTATTCTTTCTAACAACTCCATGTTTTAGTTAGTTTTTGTGGTTCTAAGTTTTTGGGTTTGTGTTTTTTTTGCTGATTCTTTCATTACCTACTTGCCTACATTGTGATTGTGTTTGTTTGTGTAGGTGAAATTTCTTGTTATCTGGTTAGTTTCCATGTTGGTTCTATTTTTTTTGTGGTGGTGAGTGTAAATGATGAGTTTTAAGAAATACACACAAAGTGAATGGAACAGAATATCACACCATTGATGAGTGGTAGTTGGAGTAGTAGAATATCACAGAAGAATCAAATTTTCTGAATTCCTGGTTTTAGATTTACAGATTTCATTTGTCAGTTTCAGAGTTTTTGCTTTTGTGCTCTTTTCTTTTTGAGTTTTCGGTTTTCAAAAAGAGACCCCATTTAATTGTACGGAACAACAGTTGCTGGTTTTTTCTGTAGCTCTTTTTGAAGTTCTATTTTCTTTGTTTGTTTCCAAGAACTCCATATTTTTAACTCAGTTTTTGTGCTTTTAATTCTTTTGGAGTGATTTTCCGCTGATGCCTATTTGTTCTTTTAGCTCATTTGTGTAGCTGGGTTTCAGTGTTTTTGTTATGCTTTTTTCATGAGTGAATGATGAGTTTATGAGTTCTCAAAAAACACCCTCAAATCCCCATTAACAACATCTTCTTCTTCTCCTGAAAGGTAGTATTTTTATTTTCAAGTACTCCATTTTCACTTCCTTTCCTATATTTTTAGCTCATATTTGTTCATGGGGTGTATCTTTTTTCTTTCCTTTTTTGATTTTATGCTGCTGCTTTTCAAAAACTATCTGATTTGCATTGCCATCTATTATTAGTTCTTAGTTCATTTTTTGTTAATTGGGTCTTTTTTGTTGTACTTTCTTTTTTTCTCCTTTTCCATTTATGTGCTTTCTTTCCCTTTTTAGCTTGTTGAGAGTAATTTTTACATTTGTTGAAGAAAGTGATGTTCTTGGCAGCTTTTTATTAAGTATTTACTTGAATTTGAAATGAAAAAAAAAACATAAACAAGTGTTATGGGAGAGTCATATTTTTAATCATTTTAGTCACACATAACGTGTAGATTTATAAAGGTTTTCCTTTTATTGTATGGAACCCATATGTTTGTTCTCCAGCTTTTTGCTATTTTTAGCAAAATTTATGCGTGTGAGAATTGTTTAAAGATTTATGATTGGGAATATAACGTGCATATTAAATGTTCTTCAGATCTTTCTTGAGCCCAATGCCTAGTTGTATAAAGTTATCAGCTTTAATTTTCTGGAGGGTCTATTTTTGCTCCACAGTTTTGCCAAGCATAGCTTCCTATTTTCACTGATGTCTTATTAATTAAGAATAATAGTAGCTGATAACCTTATTTTGGCATTTTTCTTGGACGGTTTGCTTTGACCATGAATATTGTGAGTCTTAAACAACGTAGTAGTTTTTGTTTTCAAAATGAAAAACAGTATTTGAACTAATTGGAGTTTTATTTTATTTTAATTTTTGTGAGTAATTTGGACTGAAAAAAGTACCATCTTTGCTTTAACGACAGAATTATTATTTTTTAAAATCATTGGCCAAACGCACACTTACCTTTAGTTCTGCTGAAAAAATGACAATTTTTTACAGTATAGTATTAGTTGTTTGTACTTTGAATGAAGCATTAAATATTACCATGTTTGTGATGGATAAATATTATGTTTAAACACAATATAATGATGTCTTTAAGCCTGTTTTTAATACTTTCCAGGCACTGTGAGCACACTGGTCTTGGACATTTACTTCTCATAAATCAATTCTTGACACCATTTCATAATCTCTTAAGAGAATATCTAATAATTCTATTATATGACACAAATAGATTTGAGATTTATTCTTTTTTTTTTTTGCTTTAGTATAGGAAAGTTTCGTGCGGGTGTCTTTGAGTTTAGCAAGTTTTTTGGGTGATTGAGATGGTACATTTAACTTGAAGGTGCACACAACATTTCATGTAAAAATTGATTGAAGAATGTATTTTCTTCCAGCTTCTTCATGAACTTCAGTCAGTCAAATCTGCATATCTTTTTTTTTTTGGCTGATTGTTGTTGATCGAAGAAACAATTTCCCCACTATCATGGCTTTACTAAACAAATGAATTAAGGTGTTTGTTTGTGTGTAGATTTTTGTTCATCTTGGTATGATGCATATTTGATTTCACTTTATAGCTTTGTTTTTCATCTTCTTCATGGAATACCTCGCAGGTTATTGTATGAAACTACAGTGAACCAGCATAATGACAAAGAAAGCTTCAAAATGGGAGGCTTGTGTACTAATGATCATTCTTCTCTGCTTTACACAACAACCAGTAGTCACAACTGGCTATTTGGTCAACGACATGGAGTTACTGAAGGCTCTACGAAATTCTCTTGTCCTGAAAAGGGATGTTATTCCCAGATGGTTTGATACAAAGACTCCTCCATGCAATTGGACCGGCATAAAGTGTGAAGGTGAACGTGTCATCCAGATAGACTTTCCATGTACAGGATCACCGCTAAATGTACCATTTCCTGGAAATATTGGAAAATTTAGGTCCCTCAAGCACCTGAACCTCAGCCACTGTGCCCTCACTGGTACTATACCTACAGATGTTTGGAGTCTGGAGAATATGGAGACACTAGACTTGACTGACAACAGGTTAACTGGTGAGCTGCCTCCAACTATATCTAACCTGAGAAACCTGAGATATCTTGTACTCGACGATAATGGTTTCTCAGGCAGTTTACCATTAGCAATTTGTGAGCTCAAAGAGCTCAGGGAACTATCAGTTCATGCAAACTTTTTTACTGGCAATCTTCCAGATGAGATTGGAAACATGGAGAAGTTGCAGTCTCTTGATTTCAGTTCAAATTTCTTCTCTGGTAATCTACCTTCCAGCCTAGGTAATTTGATGGAGCTTCTATTTGTTGATGCCAGTCAAAACAACTTGACCGGATTGATATTTCCAGAAATTGGAAAACTAGGGATGCTTAAAATTCTCTCTCTCTCATCCAACATGTTGTCTGGACCTATACCTGCAACAATTGGCCATCTGAAGCAGCTGGAGATACTTGATCTCCAAAACTGCAAATTCACTGGAAGTATTCCTGATGAGATTTCTGAATTGAGTAATTTGAATTACTTGAATGTAGCACAGAATGAATTTGATGGAGAGCTTCCCTCAAGCATTGGAAAGCTAGAAAATTTGCTTTACCTTATTGCTTCAAATGCCGGATTGTCTGGAACAATCCCTTCAGAGTTAGGGAACTGCAAAAGGCTCAAATCAATAAATTTGTCCTTCAACTCATTTTCAGGGGCATTACCTGATGAACTTTCTGGGTTGGATTCACTTAAATCACTTGTGCTTGATTCAAACGGCTTATCAGGCCCCCTGCCTATGTGGATTTCCAACTGGACGCAAGTAGAGTCAATAATGGTGTCAAAGAACTTCCTAAGTGGACCTCTCCCACCACTGTATCTCCCTTTGCTATCTGTTCTTGATGTCAGTGCTAACAGTCTATCTGGTGAGTTGTCTTCAGAGATATGTGGTGCCAAATCATTGAGCGTGCTGGTGTTGTCGGATAACAACTTCACTGGTGACATCCAAAGTACTTTCGCGAACTGTTCAAGCCTCACAGACTTGGTGTTGTCTGGAAACAATCTCTCAGGTAAACTGCCTTCTTATCTTGGGGAGCTTCAGCTTATTACTCTTGAGCTATCGAAAAACCAATTCTCTGGGATGGTACCAGATCAACTATGGGAGTCAAAAACATTAATGGGGATCTCACTCGGCAACAATATGCTTGAAGGTCCAATTCCAGCGACTATTGCAAAACTTTCAACCCTCCAGAGATTGCAACTTGATAATAATCTGTTTGAAGGAAGCATACCGCGTAGCATTGGTAACTTGAAGAACCTGACCAATCTCTCTCTTCATGGTAACAAGTTAACTGGAGGTATTCCATTGGAGCTTTTTGGATGTACAAAGTTGGTATCTCTTGATCTTGGTGCAAACAGTCTTTCAGGTGAAATTCCAAGATCAATAGCTAAGCTGAAATTGCTAGACAATTTGGTTCTGTCTAACAATCAGTTTTCTGGCCCTATACCTGAGGAAATTTGTTCTGGGTTCCAGAATATGCCTTTACCAGACTCTGAGTTCACCCAGCATTATGGCATGCTTGATTTGTCCAACAATGAACTAGATGGGTCCATCCCACTCTCAATTAAGGATTGCATAGTTGTGACAGAGCTACTTCTACAGGGAAATAAGCTCACGGGAAGCATTCCTCCTGAAATTTCTCAGCTCGGTAATTTAACAATGCTTGATCTATCTTTCAATTCCTTGACAGGTCCAGTGTTTCATCAGCTGTTTCCAATGTCAAGCCTCCAAGGTCTCATACTTGCTCATAACCAGATAAGTGGATCTATTCCT